GCCAGCTACTTAGGGGGCTGAGGCAGGAGAATTGCTTGAACCCTGGAGGCGGAGGTTGCAGTGAGCTGAGATTGCGCCACTGCACTCCTGCCTGGCGCCTGGTGACAGAGTGAGACTCTGTCTCCAAAAAAGAAAAAAAGAAAAGAAAAGAATAGAAACTCCAACGTCAATTGCTTGTTGAAGTTAGAGCTTAAAATATTACCAAATTCAAATTATTTTATTTACTAATTATCCATCAGAATGGGAACCAGTGGGCTTTCTCAATGCATGGAAATACACACATAATACCCATACACAGGGTAACGTTAAATGAAAATATTACACAAAATAGTATACATGTGCCAACTATGCCATAAAAACAAATATCTATCATTGATAAAGGTCAGAGGAAATTTTGAAACAATGTGCCAGTGATCTAACACTCACTAGTTTGCTCATGCTCTTTAAATTTGGAAAATTTTTCTTGGTAAATATTCAGTCGTTTTCATATATGTACATTTAAGGTACATTTAAGACGCATTTCCTAAGAACGTAAATACTCAAGAGGAATAAGCAGGAGTTAATGAGGAAAATCTTAATTTGCATTCCTCCTGCCTCAAATGCCTGAAATATCTTGGATATAATGTTGTGTGAATAAGGCTTTTACTGTTTAATGTGATAGGACTTAAACATTCTCTTTTTGCTAGGGCCTATAAAACATTTGCTATTAATAGCCACTACTTTTCATTTTTATCTACCAAATTTACTAAGGAAGAAAAAATATGCCAAGGCTTCTATTGGTCTGCTCAAATCTTTTCTATTATCTGGCAAATAAATGTCACTTCTTTTAAATCTGTCCACTTGGAAAGGGATATTAGGTGGTCTGTCCTGAACATGACAGTTCACGTAGTAGGGCTCTGACTTGTCAACTTGCTTCTGACTGTGTCTTTTGGTCTTCCCCACAGTCTTTTTGAAGTAAATAAGGTAATATTTCTATAGCCATCGGACATGCTGAAACTGAAATATATCTTCCCCAATTCTGCACACTAATAACAGTAAAACCTTGGCTTAACACCAGAGGTGAAGTCTAAAACGTTCAACCAGGAAAGCACAGGTTTGCTATATTTTGAGATTAATCGAGTGACCAGGATAAATCTATGCAACTGGTCTGCCTGGGCCTTCCAGTGCTCTCGCTGAGGAATACAAACTCACCCTGGCCCCAGTTGTGATTCAGCACCAGCCACTGTCCACTCCAGTTTAAATCCTGATGGGGATGATTCCAGGGCTGACTGCAGTGTCCAAAATAACAGCAAGGATTCCAGGAATCTCCCAGGTAGCTGAGCCCCATTTCTTCAGATTGATCCAGAGAGACTGAGCTTGGAGAATATAGGGAACATGGAGACCCCACTTCCCAAGACAAGATTGCCTGCCATTTTCTCACCTACCCTACCCCTCCTCTCAACATCCCCTCTTCCACCACTGAAGACAAGAACTTCATCACCCACCCCTGACCAAGAATGAAGGCTGCAGTGGGTGTGGAACATATTTCAAGTGATATCAGATCCAATATAGAGTTTTCTTGATTTGTGTTTCTTCTTTGTATTTGTAGACCCAGACATAGAAGACGGTTCACCCCATTTCTAAAGCAAAGCCCTTTCTCTACTTTGCTGGCAAACTTCCAAATTATTTCCCTCTCAATTAGCGTCCCAGGTTACAGAGAACATCCTGTGCCTGCATAGTTTTTGTCTAACTCCTTCCTGTGAAAGGGAGAGCAGACCCAGACAAAATCAAAAACCTAGTTCCTCACCCAATTTCCCAAGCCTGGAGTTGCCATTGCACAGATGACAGAGAAAAAGGTGAGGGAGTGGGGTGGAAAAGAACTGAATCATTCTTTTACGTTTCAATGTGTTTTGCAGGTTACTGACTCAATACAGCTCATAAATTCTGCCTGCATCCCACAAGCCACTTGCTTACTCACTATCTCTGCTAAACGTACCTTGTGAGTTTCATCCATTCTATTTGTTTTTCAGGTCTTGTCTGGCAGAATTGAATATTCTCAAATCCTACAGTAAACACACATTGTAAGCAGAAAGATGTAGGGAAAAATAAGATAAAACACAGAGAAAAGTTTTGCTTTATAGTGGCAGGAGAAATAGAAACTCAAAAAGAGAACAGCTGAGTCACAGTAACGGTGGAGTTTTGAGCAGAAAGCAGTGGATACTGAATGCTCAGAGGTGACAAAGTACCGATCACTGAGACTGCATGATCCTCAGTGATTTACTGGGAGCCTTCTTTCCATGGGGTTGTTTTTGGTTCTTTGAAGAAGTTAAATTATCATTAATACAGGTGCATCCCAGGATGCCATACTTGCTGACCACCCCCCTCCCTCTTCCAGACTTCACTGTGCTGGAAATCACACTTAGAATAAGAATAAGGACAGGGATTTCATAGAGGCAATTGAAAAAGGAGGAGCAGAAGCAGCTCAGGGACCCACAGAAAATATACAGCATGGGATGACTGCTGCATTTGAACACATTTGTTCGTTCTAGGACTTATTTTGAAAGTAAACACAGTAAAGGGATTCATGTCTTAGCCCTTTGGATAATAAAAACAACAAGCATATTGTCCAATTTAGGCCATGTATTAGTTTCCTTGGCTGCCATATCAAAGCACCGCAAGCTGGGTGTCTGGAAACAACAGACATTGATTGCCCCAGAATTCTGGAGGCTGCAAGTCTGAGATCCAGATGTCAGCAGGGTTAGTTCCTCCCTGGGGGTCTGCGAAAACATGTATTCCACGTCTCTCTTCCAGCTTCTCATGACAGCTGGCAATCCTTGCCATTAACTGGATTGCGGAAGCATCATTCGAGCCTCTGACTCCACCATGCATGGCCTTCCCCTGTGTCTTTGTTTCCGCCTCTTCTTCCTCTTCTTGTAAGCACCAGTCATACTGGATTGGGGGCCCATCTTATTCCAGTATGATGTCCTCTTAATCAGTCACATCTGCAACCACTCTATTTCCAAACAAAGTCATATTCTGAGGTGGGGGGGGCGGAGTTAAGACTTCAGCATACCTTTTTGAGAAATATAATTCAACCCATAACAGTCCACAATTGAGAAATATAAATTTGTATTTTGTTTATTTGGAGTACTCATCCTCTGTCTCTCTGAAAGTAGGAGAATTGAGTTTTTCCCAGTTTAAAGATTTATGGTAGATTTCATATATAAACTGTTCTATATATGACACAAACTGTTATACATGGTTATCTCACAAGAGTTATCTCTTAGGGGAAGGTGATGGGGGGCTTTCATTTCTCCATTGTAAATGACTATAATGTTTGTGTTTCTAAAACAAACCTATGTCCTACTTTGTAATAAGAAAGAACAATAAAGACACATTTTCAAGAAGTGAATGGCTTTTCTTTCCCTCACAGCCTCTAGCATCAGAGTCTCCTTAGGAGAGGAATCTTTATGGGTGAGGAAAAGCAGGAGGCAGGGGAATGTGCCATTTGGAAAATTGTGTTAAAACCACAATTGCTTTGATGTACTTGTCTTTAGACATTACTTTAACTTACTTTAAATTTTAAAATAGCGTTAAAGGAAGACTCAAGGTTTTCATGTTTACCCGAAGGGAACACGGGTTTTCAATATTGAAAAATGCGGAAGCTTCTTGCAACCACTCACAGAGGCTTCCTGTTAGCTAAGGCAAAATGAGAATATTGGCTTTTAAAGGTTTTATCCAAAGAATGATGTCCAGATAAAATACAAGATACCCAGTCAAATTCAAATTTCAGACAAATAACAAATTTTTCCAGTATATGTTCCAACCATTGCATGAGACATACTTATCTAAAAAATTATTCCTCATTTGCCTGAAATTCAAACTTAACTGGGTATCCTTTATTGTTTATGTATTTATTTATTTATTTTTGATACAGAGTCTTGCTCTGTTGTCCAGGCTGGAGTACAGCAGCACGACCATGGCTCACTGCAGCTTCAACGTCCTGGGCTCAAGCAATCCTCCTGACTCAGCCTCCCCTGTAGCTGGGACCACAGGCACATGCCACCACACCTAACTAATTTGTTTTATTTCTGTAGAAACCGAGTTAACCTGAGTGGCCCAGGCTGGTCTCAAACTCCTGGGCTCAAGCAGTCCTCCTGCTTCAGCCTCCCAAAGTGCTGGGATTACTGGCACAAGCCACAGCACCTGGCTGGCACCCTTTATTTTTATTTGCTAAATCTGGCAGCCCTATTCCAAACATACCAATTTAGATAAGCTTTTTCTAAAAATTAGACCACAGGAGAGATTTGTCCCAGAAGTCACTCATAAAAAGAGCACTAAGAGGTTGTAGCTCATCACATTTCTCTTTGCTGATTTTGCACAAGCCATAGAAATGTGGTTCAAATGAATCCTATTTTTGTCAACATTTTGTATCAGGAATTCTTGACAAATTGTGCAGGAGTTGCAGGGGGTCTGTGAACCTCCTGAAATCACACACCAATGTGCATTATTGTGTGGAAAGGAACCATAATTAGATTCTCAAAAATGTCTGAGACCCCGAAGAAGGTCAGAGGGCACCACCTTAATGACTGAGGCCATAGCTTTGAACTCAGAGAAGGTATTTTTTCTGAGGGCTTGGGCATTGTTTTTCAGATTAATTACTTTTCAGATGATTGACTTTCTGATGGCCTAAACTGAAAAATGGAGGAAATCTCAGCAAATATAAGAGTGGGAAGTTTATCCGTCTGCTGAAGCATCCCTCTTGAATGTCTGAGATGCCAAATGTTCTGCATGTTTCACAGGAATTGAGTAGAAGCCAGGTCAAGGGTGGTGCCGATCACTGTGACTTCTCTGATAAAGTCTAAGGTTCAGAGGCATCTACCTTGAATACCAAAAGCCCTTAAAGAGAGAGATTGACAGCGGGAGACAGACAGAGAGCAATGCTCAGGCAATGACTTTTCTTACTACCTTTAGAAAATAAATGACCATTTTGAAAATCGCTACTTTATTGTTTTCCTTAGAACTCCTTCATCAGTCTACCAACAGCTCTTACTGATGAGCTCGACTGGCCCCAGCTCTCTGGTGCTACAGGATTTCTGGACTCCACTGTTGGGTAAGTGTGTTTGCATACCCTCAGACATCTTAATACATCTGTGTAAGGAAAGAACAAGAGATGGGGCTTGCTCCCAAGATATTGAAATAAGAATTGTTGAGAACTGCTTCTAAAACATGAATTCAAGTTCATCTACCATACAGTAGGATGTAAAGCAAATTGCATTTTAGCAGTGCTGGTAAGAAGCGCATATTCCTGCTATGCGTAGGGTGGGGTGGGGTTCCATAGTTTACTTCTGATGAAAAATACTAAACACATCACTGAAATTTTCTGATCCAAGGTAAAACAAAGTTTACTTGATTACTTATTCTCAGAAATTAATATTTATAAAGATAATGGCTGAAGCCAGTTGGTACTTCTCAAGGTCCTGGAATCATCCTGGCTTTAATGCCCAAGATTTGTAGGTAGAGACCAGGCCTGATGAGTTTGAGTGACACGCAAACCCAATTCACTACATATGCCTGGGTGTTAAGATCTGTGGTCTGCTTCCCAGGGCTATACCTGGCAGGGACACCTGTGATGCTGATGAAACTTTGCAAGTGTCCCTAACATGGTAGAAAACCACAGATATGAGTCTATGGCCATCCCACCCTGAATACACCAGATCTTGTCTGCTCTCTGGAAGCTAAGCAGGGCCTGGTTAGTACTTGGATGGGTGAATGTCACAGATACGAGAGGTAATTTCTCTCCCAACATCCCCTAAACATTTATGACAGTTAATAAGCACAAGGAATGTGGCAAATGAATGGCTTCCAAGTGTAAAAAAGAAGAAAGAGTAGAAGTTTGCTTTTAGGTCTAAAGGCCGGACAGAGCCAACTAGGAAGCCCCTCTCTGACTCAGGCAACAACACCAGAAGCCTGGAATGGACCATGAGATAAGCCATGAGAACTGTGAGGAGGGCAAGTATGCATGGGGCAAGATTTACCCAAATCTGTAAGGAGTAGGAACGCCCCTAAGGGACAGACATTAATCATTTTAACAAGCAGTTATTCTAATGAACAAAGGATGCTGCGTACCCTGAATATTTATTTGATGATCTTTACTCATTTACTTTAAAAATATTTCTTAAATACCACCTAACCAAGCACTAATGTTGCAGGTGTTCATTTAAAGGTAAATAAGGCTTGTCCCATCTTTGTAGTCAATTACAATCAAGTAAGGCAGATGAGACAAGTGAACTGATAATGGTAATACAAGGGAGATGTACCAATGACAGGTCTCCCACAGAGAGAGCCGCCGGGCTCTGAGGAGGAAGAGCTCAGGGAAGTGATCAACAGCCACTTCCTTTGGGGGAAAACACACAGGATACTGGGGTGATGAAATGCGTATAGAAGAAACTAGGAACGATAACTAACCTTCAGGGAAACATATTCATATTTATGTAGACATCATCTGTGAATATAGGGAAAACTAAAGATGCGTTTTCCAGTGTAGTTATAAGTTTTCAAGCTTAATCACGTTTTTTTTAAAAAGGCTAGTCCTTGTCATTAGCATAAAAATACTAAAATACTTACTAATAGGGATAGTAAGAAGTAACGTTTGAGAAGTAAGAAGTAACTATATGCCAAGCATTTACTGAGTTCATATAGAGATTCTCTTGTTTAACCTCCTTGTGAGGGGGTATTGCTCTCTGCCTTTGCAGTTGAGGGAATCCAAGGGCAAATAGGCAGAATAAGAATCTTGACCAAGGTTGTTCAGCCAAGAGTGGTAGGGTCTGTTTTCATGGAACCTTGTGTCATATCATAACAAAGATCTGTTCTTGCCTCCCATCATTTGGCCCACAACTCCCAAACTTTGTGTTGTTTTTATTCTTTGTGTGGGAATATGGCTCACTCTAACCATTGTCTCTCTGTGTGAGAGTATATCTATGGGATGGGGAAATATCTAAGAACCAAAGAAGTCCTCCCCATGTAGAGGTGTGGCCTGCACTGTTTCAGCCACCAATCATATGCCTCCTTAGGGTCCCAGTACGCCCAGATGTCCGGGACCTCCTGAACCCCAGTCTCAGTCCCCTCTTTCCTCTTCTACAGCCTCTGTTGTCTTTATCTGGAACATATCCAGAGATAACCCAGCCGCAGCAGGTTTATGGAAGATAGAACCTTGGACATCTCCTTGATGTCAATATCAGAAAAGAAAAAAATATATATGTTTACCTACCCTCCAACCAGTCTAGCCATCTCTCAATAAAAATATCTGGAATTTTCTCTCAATCAAGGCTTTTATGACAATAACAGAATTAGTCATGTATGAACAATGAACACAGCTTACTGTACCTTCAATGAAAGCTTAAATTTTTACATATTGACTCTATAAATCTCAACTACTTTTTGGCCCCATGAAGTTGCCATAAAAGAAATAACAATCCGATGTTTAAAATTAATTTCCAAGTAGTTTAAATCTTTACTGGAGTCACTCAAGGAATGAAAGAAGAATCCACTCACCATGCCCAGCAAAACTGATAAAAATGTGTTTCCTCATCTCTTTCTACTTACAGCTCAGTAGTTGCCCTGCATTTCCTGAATCTAAACTTCTCCAAAACTTGACCCACACGTAGCTCCTGCTCCCAAACAGATTCCGTTCAGTTGTTTTTAGTTTCTGTTGGTGGATGAGAGGGAAAGCTCCCTCTTCCTTCCTGCATCTGTTCTGTCCTCCCACCAGCGAGTACTGATAAGGGAGTACTCCCTTACTCCCTTATCAGTGTAAAATCTTACTAGCTCTCCAGTCCTGCAGCAGTTTCTACCCACCAACCTGATCAAAGCCCAGCAGGTAAACAGGATCCTCCATCAAAGCATGGCAATGGGGTAAGAGGAGAGGAAAAGTTGAGAGTCTTCAAACATGAATGGTTTCTCACTTGTATAAGAATTATGCAGAGAAATTCTGACACCATCTCACAAAGTAAGTGACCATCTAGGTATAGCTTATATGAAAATCATCTGTATCCTGAGCTAGTCTTTGTTGACTTAGTATCTTTTTGTATTAGGTTCTTTATTACTGCTTACCAAAAAAAACCATATTCTGCTTAAGCAACTTCATCAGTGTTGACTGTAAGTCCTGTTCTTAGCTGTTGTATTTCTAAAGAGGCACACACCACAGTTGGTCGTTCACCTCCCCCGTAGGAACTTATCTTTCTGTGTGTTTGTGGGGCCCTAAGCTTCCTAGCTGTCCCTCTCAGAGTGCTCTTTTTGCCAGCTATTTTAAAAGTGTTTGCACAGTGCACTGTGTGCTGTGCCTGTGTTCACTGCCACCCAGCTGGAATGGGGAAGAATCTACCAACTCCTTTTGATGGGAAAGGAAATTGTTTGTTTGGAATCTGAGTGGCAATGGATTCCCCTATTAAGCAGAAACAGAGGCAATATGACACTGCATGCATAGGATCACCACTCATTATGTCCCTCCCAGCGGTAGTTACAGCTAAACTATCCATATACCATTGCATAAATTATCCCTGCAGATAATCTGTGCTAAGCCAAACTCCTTATTAGAATAATGAAAAGTTATAAAGTATATAAAAATATCAAAGAGATTAGCATATGATGGAGGTCCTTGTCTTGTGGAATCAGGAAAATGAAAAGAATATTGAGCTACAGACAGAATTTCTGAGAGGTAGACACCTCTCACAGCTCCTGTGGGCATTTTGGGCAGATGTCCCTTGAATCAAAATACTTATCAACAGAATTAGTGTATTTCTCGATTCAACTGGATCTCTAGAATGTGCTTTCTACCATCATGATCAGCCTAGTGCTACGGGTATCAACAGCGTTCTTTGGAAAATGTAACTTGTGAAAGCATCAGGGGAGAAAATGGCTCCTTCTCTTTCATTCTTTGTTTATGCTCTTTGTCCTCTCAAAATGTATTATCCCCGTCATGAGATGAGTATGACTTTAATTGAAATTATGTGCATGTATTACATGACAAACGTAACCCATTAGTTTCACAAATCTTTAGTTCTTTTAGTTGAGTCAATGTTAACAAAACCTGTTTTCTTGACTCCTGGGCTTCAGAAAATTCAATACGTGATATTCCTTAAAATAATACATTGGGATTTTTCTTCAGTGTGATTCAGGAATGAATTGAGTAGGTCAAAAGCAGAAAAGAAGTATCTGTGGGTGTTGAGAGCCTGGCAATAGAGCACTGTAACTGCAAATAGGAAGAAAAACGTGTTTTTACAAGATTAAAAATAGCTACTAGGAGTCTGAGGTGGGAAGATTGCTGGAGGCCAGGAGTTTGAGATCAGCCTGAGCAACACAGCAAGACCTCATCTTTAAAAAAATTTTTTTTTTTTAATTAGCCTGGTATGGTGGCATGTACTTGTACTAGCTACTCGGGAGGCTGAGATGGGAGGATTGCTTGAGCCCGGGAGTTCAAGATTGCTGAGATTGCAATGAGCTATGATCATGTCACTGTACTTCAGCCTGGGCAACAGAACAAGACCCTGTCTTTAAAAAAATAAAAATTAAAAAAAAAATTTTTTAAAGATTAAAACAATACTTCATATTCAGATCACTTTCCAAAGCAATTCATATAACAAGAAAATCCTACTTATATTAAAGAAACCAAAGATCTAATAACACATGTAGAAGGATGGGAAACAATACCAAAACTTTTTTTTTTTTTTTTTTTTTTTTTTGCGATGGAGTCTTACTCTGTCGGCCTGGCTGGAGTGCAGTGGTGTAACTCGTCTCACTACAACCTCCACCCCCTGGGTTCAAGCGATTCTCCTGCCTCAGCCTCCCAAGTAGCTGGGATTACAGGCGCCCACCACCACACTCAGCTAATTTTTGTATTTTTAGTAGAGACAGAGTTTCACCATGTTGGCCAGGCTGGTCTCAAACTCCTGACCTTCTGATCCACCCTCCTCAGCCTCCCAAAGTGCTGGGATTACAGGCGTGAGCCACTGCACCCAGCCAACAATACCAAAACTTTTACAAGAAGGAAGTACTTCTCATTTGAAAGCAGCATCTAAAATTCCAGAGTGAGCATGATAGAGTGAAAGGAAGTCT